ATTTGAAAATTATATTATTTTAATTAATTTTTATTAAAAATATTGTAATATCTTAATTTTTAAAATAAAAATGAGATTTTTTTTTAGTTGTAGTTTATTAAAATAACAAAAATTTGAATATTTTCTTATTTAATCTTTTACAAATTTAACTGCTACACACTAAGATGGTATTATATATCAAAAATAACTATTTTATGACACAAATTTTGGCGACCAACAAAAGAAAATGTGATTTTGAGGCATTTTTTGTTTCTGTAACAGTTTGTTAAGAAAAGAATCGAACAATTTATTAAAAAATAAGTATCCACAAAAAAATATGATGTGTTTTTATTGTTTAACCACTAACTTGGTCAGACCTTGGCATTGCTCTTCTTTTTGTGGCAGTCTAATTGCTTTCCTTAAAATTCCCACATTGGAAATTCATACTCCTTACCAGAATAACCCAAACAGCATCAGGATTTGCCAATGTCAAGAAACTACAACTAAGGTGCATAAGATAATGTATATAGCTCGATTCATGTGAAATCTTGTTGCAACATCATGTTCAAAACCAAGCCAGCAAAAGAAAGAAAAAATGTTTAGAGACTACAATACCAAAGTTTAGACACACCACGTTTTCTGTATTAAGATATATATGTTTTGATAACACAAGGTTTAAATATTGTCCTTAACACCAAAATACCAAACCAGGACATGAAATTAAATACTAACAAGACAGTCACACAAGGAGTTCAAAAACTCTGAAGGCTAGTTTTAGAAATCTAAATAATATTTTATAGGTGCCAAGAAAATTTGCAGCTTGTAGTCACTAAAATCCAGAGCCACATGACCTGTCAAGAAGAAGATATCAGAAACATGTAGAGATTGTATAAGAGATGTGTCCTCATGGGAAATATCAAAAAAGTAAAGTTGATGGAATCAGAGAATCCACTCACCATATTGAAGATCAAACCAACACTAGCTTTTATAAATCATAAATTCAGTCTTCTTTAGAGTCAACGACACTCTGCAGGTCATAAGGAACGTTTTAAAGGAGGAAAGCAAAAATTGCAAGAAAATCTTCAAAATTAAAATTTATTAAGTTACCACAACCTTTGCACCTTATTTGATTTGATTGCAAGAGAGCTATAAAATATGAAAAACAAAAGGAAATCCTTTGAGCAAATGAATACCTTTCTTGTGAACAAAAGCTAGGTTAAGACCACCTTCCCAACATCCTTCATCTTCATCATCTCCAGTTAATTTCACTTTATGCAGTTTTGGTGAAAACAATGCCGTCCTTCAAGTTGGCCCCTTCTTCTGAGATGACTTGCTCCAACAGCTCACAATTTTGTACTTTCATCTTTTTGAGAGAAACAAGGCTCAATGCCATAGAAAGAGTTAACAAGTATCTCAAGTTACCACAATTGCAAGAGTGTCAGATGCTCTACCACAGCATATCCAATCTACAAAATTCAATATATTGCTAGTTATTACACAAGAAATCCAAATAAATTCGTAGAGGAAAAAATGAAAAAACAAAAAAAGGAAACAATAGCTTCTAGCTTGCATTTTATGACATGACTAACAAAGGGCTATCAACCTAACCCAAGCTTTTGTAAAGGATAAGTTTAGTCATGAGTCTTCTTTAGTGAGTTGTCATCAACACTTGTGGCACAACCTTGCAGGAAAAAGTTTTCAAACTAAAAATTATCACTGGAGTTTACTGTTATCATCTTACCATGTTTATTTGATCATGCCTGCAATAGGACAATCAAGTAGAAGGAAAGAAAGCTTTGACAATGAAAAATATAGGTGTATCTTTTGAATTATTGGATACCTTTTCCGCAAACAACTGTTGTATTGTGGGGTTAAGGCGCCACCTTCCCAACATTCTACACCTTCATCTTTTGTGAATTTTACTTTCTGCAGGTTAGGTGTACTTCTCCCCCAGAGAAAGTCATCATATTTGGACGCCCCACCACAATTACATCTTCCAAAGACGAGAATTCAAAGCTGCAATTCCCTAAGCAGAAGCTTGCTAGTCTTGAAAGACATTTAAGTTGCAAAGACTTCAGTTTGGTAAAAATAATGTCATTCTTGACATCATCATCACCGTGCCATATCTCCTTCAGGTTATCATTCCGTTCCACTATAGTTCTTCTAGATTGGGGAATGTAGCCTGAAAATTAACAAAAAATTGAAGTACACACCTAGAATGATGAAATGTGTATCTGAAGTAAATCCTCTGCTCGTTTGGCAAAACTGAGATTCGAAAACCCTAATGCTATTGAGTAAATTGTCATACACTTTTCCATCCACTTTTTAAATATACATTAGTAAAAGATATTCAATTTAAAATGTCATAGATGTTTCTACCTTATTGACCCAAGACAGAGGGCGTTCAATTTGGATTTCAAGTTGGTTCTCTCCACTTGTTCTCGGAAGTTCTGAAGCTAGTATCTGCAATTTATCACATCCACTCACATTCAATTTTTTCAATGATGGCCATTCTATAGTATGTATTTGAGTGTAGAAACTTTTGAGATTGGGTAGCCACTGAAGATCCAAAGATGTTACTTTTGGAAAGACAAAATTAGGGGTTGTTTCCACCAAAGCTGATTGAGCAATTAATTGTTCTTCTGATTCATCAGCATCTAGTTCTTGAGGTTCAAATATTTCTTCTAGTGAAACACAATTCCTTATCAGTAGCAGGCCTAGGCTTTGTAGCCTCCCTACCATTTTAATTGGAAAAATATTCACTAGTTTTTCACAATGTTCCACACATAGAAGACTTAGTTCATGGAAGGAATCTTCATCAAGTTGTTCATCCCATATCCTGATCAAGCTCCTCATCCTCCGAATTATAAGCTTCTTTAAACTAGGGAATCCCACCTAAAAAATTCATTTGATTGCATTAATAACTTAACATATTTGAAGACAAGATGCATGAAAATAATGAAAATAATTTGACAATTGCTTAGTAGTCAAAAGCTTATTTACAAATTAAAAAAAATAACTGAAATAAAATATTTTTATATATTTATTTTTAAAAAAACTAAAAATAAATAAATGTATAAACTAAATGAGTGGTGTTATAGGAATAATATTTTTATATAATCTTTTTATACAACTTGCACATGTCATTAAATGAATAGATGCACATAATATCACAGATTTTAAATGAATAAAAATAATAAATCATTTAATTGATATGTAAGGTTATATAAAAAATGATATAAAAAAATTATTTCTGAATCATTTTCCAAACTAAATCCATTGCAATTCCTCCGATTTGG